CTCTGAAAAGCTTTAACATGCTGCTGAGGCCCCGCTTTCTAAATGACAAAGTAGTCCAGTCATTGGTCCAAGGAAATATGTTGACATCATACATTTAACAGAGAGAACAACGTTGTATGGCGCAGAGGAACTCAGTTTAACCTGGGTTATTACGGGGTAAGTCTATGTAGCTTGTCTAGTTGAGTGGTGTTAGTTGGTGTGCGGCTGGTGTAAGATTAAACGGGAACTAAACCCAAATGTATTTTTCTGCAGGAATATGTTGGATGTGCTCCCATTAGTCCAGACATGATTGCGTTTGAGGACTTTTCATAAAAAATTCCCAGTTTTGATCCATCTCGGGGGGAATAACACGTTGTTGATGACATGATAACTAGGACAAAATTGGGGTTGACACTTAACCATCATGTCATCAAAGTGCACCTCTGCGCGTTATTGCAGCATGCGCGGCCAGTCTGCTAACCTGTGATCGGGGTTTGGTCACGTGACATGGGGAACACAAGCCTGAGAGTGTTCAGGCTTGTGTTCGTTTCAACCTTGTGACGTTTATTTCGGTAAACAGCAGAGAGTGATATCGCCCAGTCCCCTATCCCCCCCGCCCCCCACCGCCTGTTGTGGCAGAAACAACTTGTCCTTTGTTCTCACTAAATGACAAAAGGCTCGCATTCCACTTAAGACTGAAAAACCAAGATGTCTTTTTTCCACCCAGGTGTTTGACAACTATGCAGTAACAGTTATGATCGGTGGTGAACCGTACACCCTCGGTTTATTTGACACAGCCGGTAAGTGAGGTCAAAACTTGTATGCAGCTGTGTGCTTTCCGAGCGTCCGCTTGACTTTTTGCTGCATCGCCTCACAGGTCAGGAGGATTATGACAGGTTACGACCACTAAGCTACCCACAGACGGACGTCTTCCTCGTCTGCTTCTCTGTGGTTTCGCCGTCTTCCTTTGAAAATGTCAAAGAAAAGGTGAGTGGTTTTGTTCCACAGGCAATGGATAAATGCCGCCTATAAACTCACAATGTTGCGACTTTGGTTCTAATATTTTCAGAGTATGATTTGGCCACGTGCACATCGCTTTTAGTGACCATCAATCACATTTTTTTCACTTTTTTTTCCATTACTTTTAAATTACCAGTTTTAAAGAACTGGTACTCACAACAAAGATAATTTGAATACCGTAACTAAACATTTCATTAACATTGATATTTTTTTTCCCATTAACTTCAGTGTTATTCTACTGTACAACAAATGTAGACTAAAATAAGACAGTCGACTACTTAGAAATAGACCAATCAGGAATAATAAATATACCTTATAATGAAAACAATTTTTAAATTATGATCTTACATATGGCATCATTGTGACTCGCAAATGTGACACAAGTGATTGCTGCCTTCACCCGGTGGCTGCCGGAGTATGTGTGTGTCTCAGTAACTCACCTGCAAGGGTTCAAGTCGCAGCAATACGTGGGCGAGGTGGTGAGCGTGTATGCCTCCTGATTGGGGTTGTTGAACGTGTGGTCATACATGAAAGGCTGATCTGGTTTTTGATCTCCTCTAGTGGGTTCCAGAAATCACCCACCACTGTCCGAAGACGCCGTTCCTGTTGGTGGGCACTCAGATCGACCTGCGCGATGACCCCTCCACAGTGGAGAAGTTAGCCAAGAACAAACAGAAGCCCATCACGCCGGAGACAGCTGAGAAGCTGGCCCGTGACCTCAAGGCGGTCAAGTACGTGGAGTGCTCGGCCCTCACGCAGGTAAGCGCTGGCGTGTGACGTGCAGTGTGGCACAGCGCTTGGCTGACCGCAAAAATGCCCTTCCGACTCCGTCTAACTGGGTCCTTCTTGTACCTTTGTCTTTCCTCCTGGTTCTCCCTCTTCCCTTCCTTTAGCGGGGGCTGAAGAACGTATTTGATGAGGCTATCCTAGCTGCTTTAGAGCCCCCTGAAACTCAGAGAAAGCGAAAATGCTGCTTGTTCTGATGTCTGCCGACTCTCGCTTTGCCTCGCAATCTGCTGCTTAGTCTTTGTCAAGAAAGCAAACTAACATTGTCATCTTTGCACCGTCCAAGACGAAGAGTTGTCGGGGAATGTTTTGTCCTTCTGTTCAACTGGGTCTAATCACACTCACACAGGCTGCCTGATAGAAGACAAGAGTGCCAAATGAACATCACTTCGACTTGCCTGCATGCGTGAGCATGATTATTGTTGCCAGTGTCATTTGTCCCCTCAGAAGCATTTGCATCCACAACGTGCTCCTCTTCGACTGCGTTTTGGTTTTTCCTCGCCCTTCCTTTGCTTCTCTCTCAATTCTGTTTCATGCGCTTTGAATAAAGCAAAATCTGCATTTCCTCGCTGCATCTACGTTCCGCTTCCTTTTTGCCATTGGATGCTAGCACACGTCGCGTTGTCTTTCTTTGAACCTGAATGTTTTGTTTCCACAGAAAGGATTAAAGAATGTGTTTGATGAGGCAATACTGGCTGCCCTGGAGCCCCCTGAACCTAAGAAAAGGCGTAAATGTGTTCTGCTTTAAGTTTACCCTCAGCCGTCGTCGATGCGCCACTTCCTCGGTTAGCGGCACACGGACCAGCACAAGTTGAACGAATATGAAATATACATAGTGTGTTGCTTATGAGTAAGAATTGATTGCCGACTTCGTATTCCCGAAACGGCCTGACATGGTGAGGACTTTTCCCAAATATATCAACAAGGTAGGGGACATGTGTAGATAGCTGAGATCACCAAGTGGCTCCTTTGATCATACAGTATTCATGCACAAAGTAGTGGAATGCATTTAATAAAGAACCCACACAATTTGAATGCTCAAGTCAGTTTCGCACTGAACAGCAGTTGACATTTGCTTGCCGTGTGAACGCCTGTGATGCAGAACGTTGTTTGTCTGGAATTCCAAAGACAAATGCTGACATTTCACTTCATGGGTGTAGAGACCGAGGGCAGGGTACACTTTTTCAAGCGAGCCAACGCGTGGCTTCATTACATCAGATCACGGCGCGGTGTAACACTTGTTGCAAAACATGGTCACTCTCTTCATTCCAGATCCTGTGAAGGTTTTTAAATGCTACCAATAGCAGTGTTTGCATTTTTCGTTCAACATATCCATTGATTGATTTTGTACATAGAGTAAAAATAATTCATAACTTATTGTCTGTTAAGTGTGCATTACTGACACCACAAGTTAAGAGAGAAGTTCCGGTGATGCTGAAAGTGTTGATGGGTTTCTTTTGATTTCCCCTTTTCAATTTCACATCAAGCTGTACTGTATTTTCCTTGTGACCACATCACAATAAAACCAGTATTTGAAGAGACTTTGATAATGCAATTGTGTCTTTCTGGTTGAAAAGGTTAGAAGCAGGATTTATTGCACAAACATGTCACATGGACAAGTTGGAGCAGTCTGAAAAGTAAGCACACAGATTAGTGTCAACAGAAAATTTATTATCGCACACCTATTTTCATCACGAGTAGATACACAGTAGCTGATGGCAAAACAAGTATTGCACATTCTATAGGTTTGCCTTTAGTGGGTAAACAGACAAATATAATCAATTCAACAGTGTCTCTTAAAAAAAAATACATAAATAAAAAAGCCATACCGGTTCATGACTGATGGTCTCAAAAGTCAAAGTATTTGCATAATTCTACAAAGTTCTTGTTTTTTTAATCACTTTCAACAAGTGTCATTTCCATCTGCTAGCTTTCTCCATGTCTTCTCAGTCAACAGTATTTATTGATGAGGCTTCCAAACTGCCTACCTGGCAAATTGGCGCCTTGGTCTTGCTAACACGGCTTATTGCTGTGGCAGGCATTCACAGAGCAGCTCTGGCTTTGTGCAGTCAGGTCATTAGATGTTGGGTGACAATTGCTTTCATCACAACGGGATGTGGCCAGTGAGTCTTGGGTCTTACATTTTGATCACTGCCTGTGGCGTTCTGCTCTGTGCCTTGGATTTGTCCAAAGCTGCGAAAAGAATGGGTCGACTTGACAAATAGCTGGGAGAACCACCGGCTAAAACCCAAGATCATTTTCTGTTAGTTCCAATCATGGCCTGAATGGCTAATGTAATATTGGCCTCACAACTAATTGCATGTAATACAGCCGTGCCTCGATATGCAAGTTCCGTGACCGCGCTCGTAACTCAAAACACTGAATCTCTAATTATCTTTCCAATCTCAAAAGAATGAAAATGCCATTAACCTGTTCCAACAGGTGTACAGGTAACTGGGGAGTTGAACGTGGGGCTGCAGCTTTCAGTGTATTAACTCGGGCCCCAAATGATGGCCCTGCACTGGGCCAGCGATGTCACAAGCCAAGCACAACCAAAATGTGATTAGTGGGTCATGCATGAATTTATAAGGCAGCCCATCGCCACGGCAACTAATGTGAATTGCAAGCACACAAGCGGTGCTTCTCTTCGCCTATCAGTCATGAAGGAGTCACTAAGGGAACCACAGGGGCTGCCACACTCGCCACTTGCTGAGTCCCGGAAGGAGGAAGACGAGGGGAGGGGGGGGGACCCCCCCCCAAAAAAAAAAAAAACTCAGTTCACATGCAAAAGTTCTCTGATGACACTGCAGTTGTGGCATATATCAGGGAGAAAGATGAAGGGAAGTAACGTGGCCTGGTTGCTGACTTTGTGGAGTGGTGCCAGCAGAACAACCTCCCACCACAAAAACAAAGGAGGTTGTGCTTAATTTCCGCATTACCACCGATGGGTTTAGATGGGGAGGTGGTCTCCATTTCAAAGTACCTGGGGCAGAAGATGGACAACAAGCTCTGGATGTCATCTGTGCTGTATGTTAAACATACAGCACCATATATATGTTACACATACATTCAATTCAATTAAATAGACTTAGGGACTCATTTGTGCCTCAAGCCATCAGGCTTGTATACTGCAGCAACTTGCGGAAGGAGCAGGAGAGCATTTTGTCCAAACTTTGTTTCATAGTGATCTGATTTGATTTGTCTTTTGCATTTTATTTTATTTATAATGTGACTGTTTTTCTGCAAATGTAAGCAACAGCCCAATGTATATCTCAAGACACCACTGTAGAGTCATTACATGTAATTTAATTAATATAATTCTTGACTACAACCAAAATAAGCTGAAGTTTGCGTGGTAGCAAATGCTCCTAATGTGACATTTGCAAAAATAGTGCAATACAGTGCAAAATGCAGGAGGGAAGCACATAGCAGGCGTGTCAGAAAGGCTCCAGGACTTGTGTCACAAGTAGGAGATTTCAAAGCCAACTAACAAGGTCTCCGTTTTCAGGAAGGCCAAAAGCTCAAACAGCACGTCAACAAAGACACCCTGCGAGAGTTGTGGCAGGGCAACTAACTCACGGCTGCTCACAGTTGCAGGCCAATAAGAAGCTCTTACAAAACAAAACGGTTGGATTTGAAATGTATCTGTTGTGATACCAGTCCTGGAACTGTGCTGACACATCACATTTGGTGAAGACCATGGAACTATGTTTCCATTGCGGGACAGATCTCGACACAACTGTCCGTCAGTCGAATTCCATACCATCCGGCCCAGAACTGTGTGTCCTTGCCACCATGGACAAAGCGGATATATCTGACTCCTGGCCCATAGTTGTGGAAAACGTGTGTTATCTGGAAAAAGAAAAGAACGTTTGTTTTTCTTTGTGGCTTCCACTGTATTTTTTTTCCCTGACTCATCAAGAAGTCATACCTGTTTCCATTTGCCATCGTTCCACTGCTCAAAATAAATCTCCTCAGGGGAAAAGATCTGAATTGGCTTCTTCTTTTGATTCAGCAGCTCCACGTGGATCTTGTATTGACAGCCACAGTCCCATCGAGGGGCATACCTACAAGAAAACTTGTCAAGTTTTGTAGTCATTCACTCACACTTGGTAGGCTTGTTGTTAAAAACACTTCCCTGTGGGGTAAGCAAATTGAAATCATTGTGTTCTATTCACTAAACCAAGAGCACCTTTGTGCATTTCCCCTCACCAGTCGGATATTTTGATGTCTGGCTGTATGTGATCCATAAATGATGCGTTGTAACCTTCGGACTCCAATTCAATCAGCTGGGATTTGCTGCACATGCTGGAGAAAATCACATGAAATGGTGACGTGAAGGCGCAAGAATGACATTGCCCTCTGTTTCCACTTACCCATATGAAGTGACGAAGTTGCTCTTAATGCCTTCCCTGGGATGCGCCACGAAGACATTCTCTACTTTCCAGCGGTCACCATTGTTCTCCAGTATCTGCCAACCTCTCATTTCATCTGGAAAGAGAAAAGGCCAACCCTGTGATGAAAACGTGTGGTCGGCCGAGCAACACTGGCCTCTCTTCTTTCCCAACCTTCTCCCCATGGGTTCTTGAGAAGATTCCGTTTCTTCTTGCACAAGAAGTAAAATGAGCGCCAGTCTTGGGGAACTCTGGAAGCATTGAGCAGGTGATGGCCTTCTCTCCTGCATCTGTCTCTCCACAAAAACTGGCTGTCAGCAATGGCTTTCCATTGACGGCACACTAACCGACAAATCAAGACCACCTGCTGAGGGGGAAGATTCAAGAAGATCTCTTCCAGGACCTCCAGAGGAACGGAGACCTGAGGAAAAAAGAACAGAGAGTGAGAACCAAAGAACCAACATTAACCTCACGGCCAGCTACTGTCGATGAGCATTCAGGTCAAGTCAACTTTATTGCCATGTGTGCATACACAATACCAGTCAAAGTTTGGAAACTCCGATTGAAATGGTCTCAAATTCAAACACATGAAGAGGGCAAGAAATGCAAGCAATAATGATGCACCGCTGTGAACTGAAAGTCATTGCAGGTCAAAAAGCTTCGTCCACATCAAAAAGTTGACTACCAAGGTGTGCAACACTGATCTGTGCAAACGGTGCCCATTTTGAAGAATGTAAATTACATAACATATCCTGTTTTGATGAACATTTACCAGTATTTCTTCATAATCTGGATGATGAAAGTATTTAACTACAATTCGGGAGAATTTCCTCATCTCGCGTCAACATTTCTTGAAGGAATAACTGCCACATTTTTCAGTATGTATTGCACATTTTCCTTTTCTCCTCTTGAAATGCATTCCATTTCCTATCATTTAAATTCTACCCAGCCTCCAACTCGCATCAACATTTCTTGTATTTGAATGAATTCTCCACAAATTCAGTCCGGCGTCAAATCTGAAACCGTGCCACACTTTCTACCCTCAGTTGAAATTTCTCTGAGAATCATTCTGAAACGCGTCTGCAGCTACACGATGAATCAACCAGATTTTGCATTGATCAACACATGTTCCGTAAAAGTCAGTGTGACAAATCTGGACGAGAAGAGTACAATGCACATTACTTCCCTATTCCCAATTAATATAGCAACACAAGAGGCGTAAATACAACAGTTCGGTCAATGTACACTGTGTACGCAGCTCAAAATCTACCTTTGACATGGTAGGAAGGGATGACGGAGTCTGAATCGAAGTGAATGAATCACAGCTCTGTGTTGCAGCCATTTAAAGTCCACTTCAGGCCCCACTGGCGAGGTCTTTGAGATCGGAAAGACGTCCAAACAAAGATGTCTGCGGAATGATCTGTTAAAATGACTTGACTGTATTGCTACAACAAATTCGACGCGGACGTTCAGCTCCAAGTTAAGTCCCCAAATAAATGTGGCTGGAGTATAATATTCCGTGTCGCTCTACCCGCAGAAAATGCATCGAAATGTAGTTTCAAAGGACAGCGGTCACTTTGGGTGACGAGCTTGGAGCATCGAAACGAAGCCAAGTTTCAGTTTACTGGAAGTTAGCAGCGCCGACGTATAAATGAAGTGATTTCCTATTGGCCGGTGGCGACCGAAGCCAACCAGCTGCCATCTTATGTTGCCACCAGTACTTTTCACACAAAATAAACACTGTTATCAGCGCGTGTTTCGTGCCATGAGAGGCTCACAACTTCACTGTCTGCGTCGATCATTAAGAATATTTACTATCATCTCGGTATCACGTGACTTATATTTTGCAGCCGATTTTGTCCCGATGAGTTTTGCTTTCATTTAACTTGATTGCTCTGACAGGATGCAGAGAATCTTTGCGTAGCACTCAGCAGTACACACATACGGAATTTTCGAATCTTAAAATATTGGGGGCGTGGGGGTTGTGTTTCTATTTTTTTTTTTTACTTTGGCCGACCCCATACACACAAAAAACGGCATTGGGGCAACCAGTTTTGTTTGTATTGTGTGTGGGGTACTGCGACAAATTGACACAAGCACCACTCACAAAAAGAACCTCCGCTGCTCAAGAATACCAGTCGTCCAAGGGCGAGATCTCGCGTGATTATATGTGACTTCACAAACGCGAAGACGGAGCTGCCTTTTCCGGGTATGCGCGGATGATGACAGACTGTGTCCAAATGGATCTGGGAAACAGATTAGTTATTTAACAATTTATTATTTTCCATTCATTTTGACCATTTTAGTCAATACAAATGTAGAACAATATAAAATAACAGTGGGAACTAGTAAAATGGACCCCTCAGAACAATTAATACGTCTTACAATGTAAATATACCGTTTTTAATATTATAATCTTTCACGGAGTATGAAGATCATTGCTACTTGCAAATCAAAAGACGACACGATTGATAGATGCTTTCGTTTGGTATTCGACGTCCATACCATTAGACTAATAATGTGAAACATGTTTTTGGAGGAATAAAGTGGTCGAATTTTTTACTGACAGTATAATTTGTTTTGAACGATGAAGGAACTGTGATGAAACAATTCAATATGAACAGCAAAGGTCATTTGCAATAACTACTCATCAGAAAAACACAATTAACCATGCCAGAGACCAATTTTAATATTAGGGCAAACAAACAGGCGCAATTATGTTTTAAATCACATAGGCACTGCAATGTCAAACAACTTGGTCAAAAAAGTTGTTTATAAAACTTAACTCAAGTAAATGTACAATGGGTAGGCTTTAAGAAGATGGTAATCATTTATTTTAGAGTCACATTGTCCACAGCTACCCTTTGTAATGCTTCATTTACCATTCTGCATGTTTAACTGATCTATATAAAGACCAAGGATAGAGAAATACTTTTTGGTGACCAATACTTGCTCCCTGTTGTATCTAAAACAAAGATGAATCCGTCTCCTTGAAGAGCTGAGAGATGTGGCTTTTTTGAGAGAGGTGAGGGGGAGTCAATACAGGTACTCCTATGTGTCTGCATCAACCCTGTGAGCTGCAAAGAGTAACAAGCACAAGTCCAACATGGAGGACACTTCTTTGTACAGAAGCAGTCAAAAAAGATTTTCCTTCCAAGCACATCGGTTCAGTTCAGCTCAGTGGCATTGACTGTGTTTCCATTATCAAAAGTCAACTAGGGCAAGGTATCCCGAATATTATTGGACCAAGACACAATTTCACATTGGAAAAATCTCACAACACACCACCAAATAAAAGTGGCATAGATGCCCTCCATTATTGAAAATGCCATCTTGTGAAACTTTAGAGGAGATGAGTATGTCATAGCCATACTGCTACAGTGGTGTTCCAAAAGTCACTAATCACTTTTTTTTCCAGTGTCGTTTCAGTTATCATTCAGAATGATACGAGGCCTTCTGCACTTAATGTCTTACAGTTTTTGTAAGGATATCAAATCGCCTTGGCTCGTCAAGTGACAATGGAGCAGCGCTGCAAAGATCTTTCTGCCCCCGACCGACTGCAGTACACAGCTCCAGTGTGGGGAGTTTTATGGCTGTCACACAGGCACAAAGTACAATTGACTCTATCCACTGCTAGTTTGTCATAACAGGAACAGTTCTTGACAAACCACGCAGCGAATGACCTGCTCCCACCAATGACAAAAACACCAAACTCCTGGAGCAGGATAAATGATAAAGCTTTACCCATACAAACCTCAGGTTGTTGATCATTGGCGTTTTCATCAGTGGTTGTGGTAGCAGGCCTTCTGCTAGGTTGGTCAACAACAGATCCTGGTCAAGAAACTTGCCTCGGATAGCGTAAATGGTACTATAGGTACTATTTTGGTGCCAAGAACGTTTCGGTTCGGTTATTGGGTATTTTGATGTTGCTAAATCCAAAAACGACATTGGTCTTTCAGAATTGGCTCTAGTTTTTGAGATCCCCCAAACCCGTTTTTTTCCGGCCAAGTTATGACATTGGTATTCTCTTTGTGCTCCAAGCTTGATGAGGCTGTATCTGTCCTTTTAAGCATGCCCATACCATATTTTTTCATTTCTGATGCAATGTTGTGATGGACGGCGATCATTATCTCAAGACAGCCTTCGTTACGCAAATCATGTTTCTTGGGAAAATCAAGCAAAGAAAAAAAAAATCGGAAAATTAGTCAATATTAGCAGTGAACAAATGCAAAAACAGGTGTCGTCAAAGCACAAACTACTTTTTACTAACGATCAAATTCACTTTTGTAAAGTATATTATCATTCATTTATTTGTTCACTCTATCTCAAAAACTAGAACCAAATCAAGGAAACAGAAGCCATTCTTGGACTCAGCAGCCCAAACTTACCCAGACACGAAAATATATTTTTTGTTGGCCATTGTAAATATGTGCGACAGTACATTGCTGACAGACTAGAATCATTATTTGTAGTGAAATAAGTTTTAATATTAATTAAGTAAAAGTGGATCATTCCTTGCAGCATGTGATCTCTCACAAAGTAGTTGGAAATCAGTGGACTCGGGTAACAAAATAACCGCCTTTTGTCGATCATGTTGCATTTTGACATTTTGTTTGTTGGCAGGTTTCACAAAGTGGCTCTCTTCTTGCCATTCTGGCTACAAAAGCCGGAGGGGAACACTGAGCCAAATCAGGCATGGCTGCCCCAAAAGGCATTGCGAAGAACTCAACTGAACTGGACCTTTTGGTGGAAATGCAGCTTAGGTGCTTGGAAGTAACTGGGAGGGTCTCACATTGCTTTGGTATCCTGAGTGGTTCAGAGTCTCCTGACAGGACTTGATGCATGACGCCGCGGAACTGATACAGCACCTTGAGGCTCTTTTCTTCCCCCACACAGGGGTCATAGAAACCAGGGAGGCCTGACTACAAAACAGACGAGAAAAACAAACGAGAAAGATGTTGGAAAAACAAACACCAATACAAAAGTGTGAGGATAGACATTTGTTGTGCAGATCTACTGGATATTGTATTGACTAAAACAAGTCCTTTGTCCGCACGTTAGACCAGATTGGGGGCAAAGTGAATTGCCTTAGCATAAGCAGCATCCTCTTCAACAACTTTTTGTGGATATTCAGCCATGTGTTTCTGCACAGTCCTGCAGACTTTGGAAAGAAATTTGAAAATGTGGTCAAGTACCTTTGCGGCCTCGGTTAGGATGAGTTTGGAATCTTTCACCAGACACTGCAGCGGCACGCTCACGTCAATCACTTTGGCCCTTTCGTGTTTCCGGCTGTTGTCCGTCACAAACTTGCCATACCAGGCATTGAGGATGATGAGACCTGGTTTGGGAGGCAGCGGCAGGTTTATCAATGGCATCCATTTTTTTTCTCCGGTCCACAGTTGCTGAGTGAATCTGGCAGGACGTGTTTTCGTCTATTGTGCTGGTGACAGTTTCAATCCATTTTGATAGTGCTTAACATGTAGAACATCAGCTTGTTATTGAAAACAACACCAATCTGAAGGCAAAGCTTGCCAGACCACTAATGACTATAAAATACAAACCTTGAGAGTGACAGTTGCTGGATTTCTACAGTTGAAAATTAAACAGTGTGCCTTAAGTACTTGACAAGGGTGACTATCAAGGGAAGGCAAAAAGGCGCCAATTCTTGCAAGTCAAAAGTGTGGCGCAGATGAAAACACTATTATATCCCTTCTGAAAACATTCACCTCCTTTATGAGGCGGTCACAAAAACTCAAGCAATTCAGCAAATGAAACGGCTTCCACTGCTATTGAATTTGTTTCGGAGGAAGAAAAAAAAAGGGCACCGCATGTTGCACATTGGAACTAAAATGTTTGGAAGTTTTGGAGAGTCTCAAGAGAACTGAAGCTTTTCCCACACTGTTAAAGAAACATGACAACATGTATCTCAAAGGTTATTAATCGTACCCATTCGAGACTCCTCGGCTTCAATAATCCTCCGCACGGACTCCTGCATGAGTAAGACCTTCACAGACGAAAAAGGCAAACAGAAACAAAATGTGACATTAGATGGATAATCACGCAATCATGAAATCACATCGCCTTTCTCTCCCATTCCATTTGTGCATGGCCTTTCAACACTACAACAGTAGCGACATCTCCAATGAAGCGCTCACCGCCGCCTCGGCCTCCTGTTTCTTTTTGGCTATGTTCGAGGCCGAACTTTCACGCTGCTTCTCCAAGTCTCTGTGAAAAGGAGAGATGGGAGTGAATAAAAGCGGCTTTTCTAGCAACTTTTCTTCAATGAAATAAAGTGAACATTTCCTACTGTTCCTTCTGGGCCCGCACGTATGGCCGGATAATGAGTCGCTGCATGGCGAGGTAGACAACCAGCGGTCCAACTGTGGCGTAAAATACAGCACTTGGCAGAAGTTGATCAGTCAGGTGAATAGGGAAGAAGTACGTCTGGCTGGCTCTGTTTAGTCTGCAGAGACACACTCACTTTTATTATTTATAGCCAACCACATCAATGGTATGATATTTCTTTTGATGATACAAGGAAAACGTGCCCAAGGCCCAAAATGTCAGGCAAACCCAAGTGGTGAAAAACAGCTTCACGCTATTTGACCACAAATGTGCGACACAGTTCTCTGCCCTTGCAGTCCTTGTTTACAGCCAATAACATGTAAAATGCATTTGCAAACACATCTCTGAATTCGCTTGCAGCGTCTTTCCAATTTGAAAATAGCAACCTGAAGATTGTTGACAACAAACATTTAGCAAATCACAAATGGCAGTCAATTTTATTGGAAAAAAATGGGATGAAAAAAAAAATTAAACTGGCACTTACTTGACCTTGAGCGAGACACCCTGTGGCACCCCGACACTGACCGTGGCTCCTAAAACGCTGTGTCGACTGATTTTCCTCTCAGCGCCGTACTCCAACACAGTCCCAAAGAAACCAGACCTGCAATGCACGCATGCACGCATACGCACACACAAATACTAACAACTGGCTGTGCCAAACATCCACAGTCTCCAGTGGATTAAGAAAAAATAAATTCTGGCAACAAACTTTATTGAGCCCTTAATCTTGGTCTGGTCTTCATCCTGGAACTTGTATTGGTAGCTCATCATCATAAAAGTGTGTGGAATGCCCAGCTGCAAAGAGTAAGCGAATGTCGTGACTCATGGCTGACAGGCAACGGGACTGCAGACCGAATGGCGATGGACAAGCACTGGCAGCAGACCTGCACTGCTAAGGTGAAATGGCTGCTCTTGGTGTCCCTGACGATGCTGGTGTTCATGGAAGAGTGGATCCCCCAACGCCACTGCAGGTAACCCATCGTGTTTTTGTCCAGGTGACGGGCCAGCACCGTGCTGACGCCAGGACGCACGCCCCGGGACGAAAACTGGAGTCCGCATTGCGCCGTCACATAGCTGAGGTGGAACGCACACACAAACACTTGCATACTCGGCCACCTTTGAGTCATTCATGGAACATCTTTAGCCCAATCTTACAAGCGCGGCGTCAAATTTCGGAAGATCTTCATTCCAAAGAGAGGTCCGTGTGTGTCCCCAGCGCCAAGCTCTATCTGTGTGCACAAACAATATGTGACATGTATGGCAAAACGCCATTCACAAAAAGGTGGGGATATTCGGCACACACTGAGTCAAATGAGCCAACGCTTCTGATGGCGACCATCGCAAAAAAAATAAATAAATAAATAAAAATTAAAAATAAATAAATCTGGTGGATCTTCAGGACCCACTGAGCGACTGAGGAGGTTATGCAGGTACTTTTTTTGTTTTTATTGAACCACAAAAACATGGTGCGATTGCCACAAAGAGAGGAAGCGGAAAAAACAAAGCAGAGCATGCCGACTTTTTGAGAGGCTGCTGTGTCTGTCTGCAACACAGAATGTCCGCGCTTTGTTTTTTAGCCACAGGTGCAGACCCTATAAAAGGCTAAATCTAGTTGAATATTACTGTAAAGTACATTATACACTACACAGGGTGTTTTGGTACGGCAAGCTGGGTCTCCCCTGTGTAATAATGTGTCTTGATTGAATTGATTCAATGATGTTGCACCGCTGCTCACCAACAATTAAGAGTTTCAGTGCTTTTTGCACAACTTGCTCTTCTCTCACAATCAGACGAATGGCAACATTTATATTGGGTTGTTAGATTCATTAATGGACCAATAAAGCTCCACGTTCAATTCAAACTGGTATTGAAATCGTGCTCTCAATCATGCTGGTCACACGGTGATGTCATGAGGCCAAGACGACCACACCCATGAATTGGGGAGAGCGTCATCAAGAGGGTACAGAAGAGATACAGAGGGACTGAAACAGTCACATCCCCCTCCCTATCCATATTGTTGTGAAAGTGCGATATAAATCAGGATGCATTGTATTGTATTGTATATGTATGTAATGCAGGAAGTTATCGGTGGAGAAAAACAGCTATTGTGCTTGCCTAATGTGTGGACACAATTCTCACCTTGCTGATGGAGAAATGGGTGGAAACTTGTTAGAAAGCAGCCATTGGGTTGTATTTGGACAGTGTGCTTGCATGCAGGTTTGACTGCAATTCTCATTTGTCTCTTGACATTGCTTGTTCAAAAGGAGCAAGTTGTGCAAAACGTAATGTCACACTTGACACGTGCGTTCACAAGTTGAAGGTCACCGGTTTACAGTGCATGCTGAAATGTCCCCGGGCGCCAAAATCCTCCATGATTGCGAGTTGTGTCCGTGTCATGAGCAACATACCTCCCCCCAACCCTGAGCTGAAGTGACTCTCCTCAAGGCCAAGTTAATAGTCCCGCCTCCGTTTCCATTGTGTGTCGACAAAGAACCAGACAAGATGGCTGTGTCATTTGTGGTCAGAGGGGCCTGGGGAAGAACGCACAGAGTTCAGAACACCGGCCAAGCCACCCACTTTAATTCAGATCAGAGCATCATATGTCACCTCTATGGATTGTGATATGTGCATCTTATTGATTTCCACGTGTGGGACACCGCCTCCAACCATGTCTTCATAGTCCTCCTCGTAGCGATCAAAGAGGTCTGTGGCATCAACGCCCACACTAATTGTTCCCTTTGAACAGAGAGTGGGGAGAAAAACCGTGTCAAAGTAGTCGAGGGCTGACTTGCTCTCAGGAAGATATGGAGCAATAAAGTTACAGAACAAGCTTTTGAAAAGACACGCCAGCTGCCAACCGCTGAACTTACCTTGGGGTTGGTCCTTTGCTGGAGTCTCCTCTCCTCACGCTCCTTCTGAAGACGCTCGTACTCCTCTCGAATCTCTGCAGGAGTTCGTTTCCTCTCCACCACCTGGAGGAAAAGCGCACTGGATGACTTAAGCCCGCTACACACACACACACACACACACACACACACACACACACACACACACACACACACACAAAAAGAAGGATTTCTACACACACACACACACACACACACACACAGAAGGATTTTTCAAATCTTAAAACTTTGCTCATCTGTGATAGATCTAACTTGTGACGATTAGAATTTTTTTTTTTTTTTTTTAATCCGGCATTGAACAGATTTGCTCGTGTTAGGTGCGTGGTGTGCTCCAATCATCACAACACGCAACATCACATGCATAAAGGCTCTGTTCCACCATAATCAGGTATTTGGATAAAAATAATTCAAAAAATGTTTTGCTTGGTTAAAGAACAATTATAAATACAGAAGACAAAAAACACATTTTCTCTTAATGACTGAATGGCCAACTTGTTTTCATTTTTAGATAATTCAACATTTTATACTTAAATTGAAACTGGGCCCAACAGCACACTATTTTCCTCTCCAGAAACATTAATAAGATTTTAGACAAATTTGTGAGATGAAGCGACGTCAGAACCACAGTAGCAATTTTGCTGGCTACAACACATTTGAGTGAGCCTGGCTTGCTCAAAAGTGATGAGTAGAAACGGCAACTCTGTCAGGCTCTCAGCAGAGATTTTCACCTATTCAACTGCATTTGAAAAGTAATCAAATGACTCTCGCCAGCCTATATGGGGTACTTGAGCGATGCTAGCCGCTAAACACAAAACTGAGCAGGTGCCGTACAGTCCAGTGTCATCATAATTAAGTTGTTGTTTTAAGCGCTCTTAGTTAACGATTGACCGATATTTCTGGATGTTGTGCGAATCAAGTCAGCTGTTGTGCCACGATACGCTGCCGGGAACAACTTTTTTCAAAAATGTGAACCGAGGCATTGATGTCTATATATTACTTGGTTAGGTAAGGTTTATTTTTTAAGTTAGCATTCTCACCGCATTGTCGGTGAGTTACTGTCATGCAGAGCATGAACAATTGTTGCTGTCAGCCTTATTCACCAACGATCTAGAAACAATTCCTCTGAGGCAAAAATCTCACTTGACTTACCTCCCACCCATCAACATCCAGTCCACGCTTGCCATAGATATCGTAGATTGCTCGTGCCTGTGGATCGCTAAGCACTAGAAAAAGACAAACAACAACAGCAAAGTATCCAAGAATGCTGGCCTTGATCAACATTTGAAGCTGTCAACATGTAGCTCGTTACCTTCGTAAGCTTCATGTACCAGGTTAAAAAGCTGCTCCGCTTGGCGCTTTAGTTCTGGATCCCGATGTTTATCTGGGTGGTATAACATGCATAACCGCCTGTACGCCGCCTTCAACTGCTCCTGTGTCGCCTGAAGCATGACATTGAAAATACACATATTTTAAAATGAGGTATGGATAAATCAAACAAAAACCAAGTTCGTCAATACTGAACGAATAGCATAAAAACAGTAAACAGCCCGAGTCAGACACAATTGCCAGGTGGAGTGGCACTCCTGTCAGTGTCATTTGAAGGGGAAAATTTCCAAATTGGTAAACTACATTAAATGTTGATTATTGATCTTATAAATTACACTAACAACGTTGAGATGAAGAGTCACTTGTTCAATAAAAAGTCACAAGAAACATTGTAAGGACTTTTCCTCGATCAGGATTTTTCTTAAATTCACACAACACTCTTGATTCAAATGATCAGCTAAACAACAAGCTCTGAAGAAGCTTAATAACAATCCTGACCATTTGAATCGGGTGTCTCGCAGCAGAAAGGGATGGAAAACAGGCAGGACATCAGCCCTTGAAGACCGAGTTTGCCCACCCGTGTTGTTAAGCCCTTGCACCCCACGGACGTGGGTACGCCTTGGGCTCCCAAATGACAACATAGTGCCATGTGCACATGGCACGGGGCACTCTTCATTACAAATGGGGCCAAATGATGACGCTCTTGATACCCTGACATCAAAGTCGAACCTAATCAACTGCAAGTAAGTCCAGGTGCAGTAAGCGGCGAAAGCATTAGCACTCGAGCCCTGTACCCGCTGAAGTCATCCGTCAACGAAACAGCTCAGTCTATTGTGACGGCCCGTAAAAGGGCGCTAGCATGCACTAGACTGGTCCAAGCGGTTTCGTTGAAGTAACACTGTCATCTTCTATAAAACGTGTTTGTTGTCGGGGAAAACGTTTCGAGCCGCAGACGGCAGACACCGAAATCAATGTCGAGGGTGACAAATTAGCCGTTTGGCTAACGTGAAAACATCGTGACAAGCGTAGCCGCGACCAAAGTCGACAGACTTCTAACTCAATTTCTTGAGCACGCTTGCACACGCACAAGTCACATGCGTCGTGTACCTCTCGCCGGACATTTAGTAGAGAATAGTAATCATCACTGGAGATCTCCTCGTCGTCTAAGGCAGACGCCATGTTTATGCCCGGTCATTTCTTCTTCGCTCCTTCGTCCGCGTTACACAATATGGCTTGTCGCCACACTTGCGCCATCTTGTGTAGCGGGTGTGCAACAAAACCACACTTCGAGTTCTCACCTCCATATTTGCCTAGACATGCTGACGTTTGACACTGTTCAAATGATAGTTTCTCTTCAAAGAATTCGACTTCTCGTGATGTTGTTGTTTTCAACAAACCTCGAGTGCACAATAATTACATTTTTAGACATTGTAACATTACATTTACAAATATTTAAAATATTTCAAATTACACATTTTATTTTCATTTTAATGTCGTTGCAACTATGTCCGCTTTTTTACTTAATGACTAAATAAATGAGATTTATGGGCATATCCGATACAACCAAAAATTTGCATTATTCAAGCAATTTTAACATTCGTAACCTAAACCCAGCAGGCAGCAGAGGAGCTGTCCTTTCAGCACCATGCCGTCCCGCATTTCAGCACTGATGGCCCGCATCCTGTTAATGTAGAATGAAGGCTATCCTTAAGTGCATTATTTGCCAAGAGTGCCAGCAGCAACGTGTATCAAGCTCAATAATCTGTAATTAGATCGCTTGTAGTTATTAACGCGGCCATACTATTGTCAAGCCTAGCTGTGCCACAGTAATTGAAAGAGGGAACCTTAAACGCACTCCGGACGCTACGAAAGTGTGCCTTTGCGTCTAAATCACTAACTAAACACAACAGCTAAATCTGCTTCAGTTAGCTAGTCAATGATTCACACAATGGTGAGAATGATATTGGCACAGCTTGTACAGTAAAAGTCTTTTTTATATGGTGATGACGCAACATTGCAGGACATGGGAGCTGCCTTGTTGGAAAGGCATTTGACAGGATTGAAGGGGCACGGGGGTATCAAACCCAGTAGTGTAGCTTAATGGTGTGGGATAAATTGGCTCATGATCGACTGGTGCTCAGTCCAGGCTAGGGATGGTTGGAATAATTGATTATTTAATAAATATGCTGTGTGTCAGCATAGTGGAATTGATGGGTAATTCGTCAAAGAAACTAAGGCCAAAGCAGAGTGCAGTATATCACTGCAATCAGCAAAGGTGCTGTTGATTCGGACTCAACAAGTCTCAACGAGTTAGCGGTCAAAGTCCCGCCGTACACTGAGCGAAACGACATGGTCTCATTTTGGCTCACGGTTGCATTGGGCTTCAAGTAAAGTGGCCCCAAATGGTAAAACAAGCTGAATGACTCATGCTATGACTCTCATTTCAGAGAGATTTCAGTTTAGTCAAACTCTCCTGGAATTACTGAAGTCAAGTACGGTGGAGCTGTCGAGGTAATTTGTTACGAGGCTGCTTTTGCAAGCCAAAATGTTCACAAACCAAGGCAATTTTTTTCTGCTGAAATGAATGGAAATTGAATATTTCCGTTCCAGCCCCAGAGCCAAGTTGCCTTCGTGAGTGCCGGAGCAGACACCTCACAAGAAGCGGACGGCCGGGGCCCTGGCTGACACGCCCGGGTCCGGGTTCTTGTTCTGTGTTGACTGTTTTCAGTCAACATAGTATCTCCATTCATTTGAACTTATGGAAACATTCAAATGGAATGCTGAGCTGAAAGCCTACTGCGGAGTCATTGGAACCATACCCAACACAACCAGAGCTGAAGGCACTCCGCCTGAAAAGCGGCACAGTCCAATGGGACATTTTGATTGTAGACAATGATCTGTTTCTTGATTACTATGAGAAATCATGAGCATGATCAGTGCCTTCTCAAGAATAAAAATCATCCGTTCATTTGTTATTCATAGTCACATTTTATCATATCATGAAAGTAATTGGAGCAATTGGAGTGTCATTTTCTAAGTGTGTTTCAAACTGCTAGCCCAGGGGTAGGGAACACCGGTTCCTCGAGAGCCATATCCTGCCTGTTTTAGATCCCTTCCTTCTCCAACACACCCGATTCAAATGATCAGCTCATCAACAAGCTCTGTGGATGCCTGAAACGAGCATGAACAATTGAATCAGGTTTGTTGGAAAAGGGAGGGAGCGAAAAACAGGCAGGATATAGCTCTCGAGGAACTGGAGTTCCCTACCCCTGAACTACATGTTGGCCCTTTTGACTGCTGCTTCTTTTGCTCCCCCCTACCCTGCTTGGAGAAAAGGTGAGGTGATGATGACCTAGTTGGATGTTGCTGTACAGATTTTGCCCCCCAATGATCTCGACAAGATCGGAGGTGGACACTCTCCCTGGATGCACTGCTCTGGAGAGTTCTGCATTGAGCATCCGGGCTGGGTTTTGAGGAGGACCCCGTTCTCCAAAGGCATCTTGCTTTATTTTATTAAATGGACTATACACTATTCAAACTAACATTTTTTACACCACATTATGTATTAGATGTTGCCCACTGCATCCATTGCAGCCTGTCCCCCCCATAGCCCTTCTGTGGGATTAAGATCAGGGGATGTTGTTCATATTTGTCAACTGGGCTTGAGAACTCCTTTGAGACTCATTTGTGATGAACGGCTATATAAATACATTTGACTTGACTAAATTAGGATACTGTAAGCAACCGAGAGCATGGCATGGATGGAAATATTCACCAAGCAATTGTAAAACCCTCTGAACTGGTATTGATGATCTATTTATTTTATATGGGATGAGGTTTAGGTGTCTAAACAGAAACTCTCTCTCTCTCTCTCTCTCTCTCTCTCTCTCTCTCTCTCTCTCTCTCTCTCTCTCTCTCTCTCTCTCTCTCTCTCTCTCTCTCTCTCTCTCTCTCTCTCTCTCTCTCTCTCTCTCTCTCTCTCTCTCTCTCTCTCTCTCTCTCTCTCTCTCTCTCTCTCACACACACACACACACACACACACACGCACACGCACACACGCGCGCGCGCTCGCACACACACACGCAGACGCAGTTTAGGTGAAGAGGGGGAGACGTGTGTGTTTATGTATTCGTGTGCGCGCGCGCGCGTGTGCGTGTGTGTGTGTTGCCAGTGAGCGGCTGGCAGCCAATCGTAAGTTAGCCTGGTTCGGACGGACTCGTCGCACGCTCCTCCACTCCCTCCGCGTGCTGTCCTTGCCGTGCACGCGCGTGGTACCCACGGTCGTGAGGAGGCGGAGGAGGAGGAGGATGTTGCGCGTGAAGGGGAAATGGCTGCCGAAAACAAGCCGGAAGGTAAGAGAAATATTCTTAGATTCATTCACTTACTACGTGTGGGTGCGTGTGTGTTTTTTTGTTGTTGTCTGCGAACAGTTTGAGGTGGCGAGCAGGCGAAACGCGCGTGTGGAGACATTTTTGCCTGGAAAAAAACCCCACAAACAAACAAAAAAAAATTACTAAAACCCAAACAACCTAACCAACCAAACAAAAAGCACATCTCCGCTGCATGCCGTCTCCCGACGAGCAGGCGGGCGTCTGCAAGGTGCACGGAAACAACAACCGGGCTAATATTAGCCTGCTTTTCTAGTTAGCTCCAAAGGACGAGTGCGGGAAGTGGCGTGTTGGCCGTGGACGTGGGCTCCGAGCTAAGTTCAAGACAGCGTGTCAGGCGGCGTCGACCAACTTCTCCTCTTCCTGTGACTACCTCGTGCCACTCGCTATTGTTTTGAGGAGGTGTCACTCGACATGCCTTGAATGGAACGTGCGCAGCGGTCGCTCGAGTTGTGTGATTGGACTCAACGAGCGTCTTTGACCTGCAGCTAGCAGCGTGTCAAACGGGCGAATCCGGGTTCCGCCGTGTTCCTGGTGCCACTTTGCCTCCAAGTACTTGGCCTATATTCGGGAGGCTTTTCGCGTAGAACGTGTGTGTCCCCACTTAGCGGCTGGCCGGGGCTGAATGCCGCCACACTGCACTGAGGAAAGGTTGACGACGGAGCTTTGCAGCGCCTTGCACACAGGGCAAAGTGATGTCTTCACACGGCTCACTAAGTTGAAATGAAAGCCATTACATTTAGTGGAATATTGGACCAAGCGTGGAACTGTAAGAACGCAAGGTGGGAAATAGGGGAATCAGCGACCTAATGAGGAGTTTGCCAGCGCTTGCCTCCTATTAAAAAGGTTTGACAATCTCGCAACAGCTTGATTGAGTCACCTCAAGTATAATGACGCTTGTCAACCTGACATGGACTGTCGATTGTTTTTCAGGCTTAAATGTTTCCATTACTGTAATAGGTCCTCGCTCGTGTAAAGAAAAATGAAAAGAAAGAAAAAAGGTGCCCACGAAATCACTACATTCCCTGTTTATAAACTTTTCGCAAGGCACTTCGAAGCCTTATAAGCAGAGTTCGAAGTCAGCAACTCCAAACAATTGTGATTTTCGGTGGCGCCTTGTGGGTTTGTGCTCAGAATTTCCTCTGTCCATGGGAGGAATTCAGCTCGCGGATGCAGAGTCCCACCAGGGGGTGATGTTGAGCTACACAAACTCACTGCGAGTCTGAAGCGTCTGAGTGGGCCACAAATGAAGACGTCTGCTTCTGTGCGAGGACAGTATGGCAAGGACTTCACCATGTGGCATCTCCACGTATTCATCAAACAAACGTGGTGCACACAAGCTCAGAACCTCCACTTGAGAGTCCCACTCCTTAGCAGGGCAAGATCTTTTGAGTGGTCGTCGCTCCATGCAAATGTGGTCAGGTCTAAGAGGCACACTGCAGCTGTCAGGCGCCTTTTTGACCTTGGGGCTTTGCAGGTAGCGCCGATCGCTCCAAGTAATTTGACATCCCAGACGGCGACAACGATGGCGGCGACGGCCCCTAACCACCGACACCTTCTTGTTGGGTGAAATGCAGGCAGAGGACCACGGCCCAGTCTTGTTTGCTCTGCCACTGTTTATGCCCTGAGCTTCTCACTCCAACTAACTCTTTTGTCAGGGCCCTTGGCAGTCATGTTTTTTATTTATTTATTTTTATTTTAGTACCCATAAAAAGCAACATGCGGCGATTACAGAGCTCAAAGCCCGGGGGACACTACAAATGTGGCAACATGGCATGTCTTTCAGCCCACGAGAAACCGAAACTAAACAAAGAGCTTGACATTTCGACAATTATTACCTTAAGTGTTGAATCGTTTATGAACGTACAATTAAATGCAAGGTCAAACAAGTTGCAGCCGCACCAGAGGTGGTGCATGTTCTTTGATTGCTAATTCTTTCACTGCCAGCCCTTTTCAAAGGACAATTCCCCATATTGCCAGCCATTTGACATCATTTGGACAGATTTTTCAAGAGACAAAGAATGTTGTGTTCTGTGACATAGAAGCCACCTATTGAGCTGTTTCCCTGCTTGAGAGGATCAGCAGCAGAGCATAGGGTGTGTCTGACCAAAAACCCTGGTTCCCAACTGAAAAGAGGAGAAAATAAGCTTTTTTTTTTTGTGGGAAGCAATACATCAAAGCAGAACGGTGACTTTGACGCTAACGGAGGTGGGCATCCTCAGTCTGCTGAGTGTGCGTTAGAGAGCTGCCGTCAGTATTTCAGGTTGGCCCAGTACGTCCGAGTGGCCAGTCACAACCAAACGGTTTCGAGAACGGACTTGCCTGTACTACGTCGCGCACAGGTACCACATGCAGCCAAACAGAGAAAAAAAAACAAAGAATGTGTGGAGTTTGCCTGTTCTCCCCGTGCCTGCATGGGTTTTTTCCGGGCACTCCGGTTTCCTCCCACATTCCAAAAACATGCGTGGCAGGTTGATGGAACACTCTAAATTGTCCCTCGGTGTGAGTGTGAGCGTGGATGCTTGTTCGTCTTTGTGTGCCCTGTGAATGGCCAGCAACCGTTTCCCCCTTGTGAGGTTAAAGCGGATTGGAAAATGGAGGGATGAGTTATACTTTTTAGTCCCACAGACCTCAATGACTTGTCCACGTTGTTTGTGTGTGTCTGTTGTTTTTATTTACATTTTTGTATTTATTTGGCTGCATGCCTGCTTGGGCAGTGCCTGCTTGAGTGATTTGTAAATTAGGTTCACAATGCCGATTGGCTGATGCAAAAAAGGGACGCACAGGGCCCACGTGGGTCAGGCTGAAATACTGACGGAAACCAGGATGGACTGATGGAGTGCCCACGTCTGGACGCTGATGTATATTTGTTGCATTTGTGGCACTTTAACCCAGTGATTCCCAACCCGTGTGCCGTGGCACATTAGTGTGCCGTGCGAGATCATTGGATGTGCAGAGGGAGATTTTCCAATGTCAGTTAATTGGATGGAAAATAATTTATTTTCGATTAAATAAATGTGGTTTTAATTGATCTACGCCAAGTATGTGTCGTAACAGGCCAAACAATCAAATGCTCTTCCGCTTGATGACAGAAGGTACATAATTAAACTGTGTCTCCATCTTTTTCAGTTGTTTTGCTGAGTGGTGTGTTGTGAAATCTTTTCACAATGTGATGCGTCTTGGTTCAATAAAAGGTTGGGAAACACCTGCTGTGACCTGCAGTCTGTTTCCACCATACATATGCCATCCATCCCTATTTGAGTATGAGTTACTGAAAGTTGTCCAAGTTCCAATGCGGAGGTATTTCTCTCCCTCTCCCTCGCGATCATCGTTCCAAGCTGAGACTTGCCGCCTAATCATTTAGTCCTCGGCTCACGCCAAAGCAATGCAACACGGCTCGTCACGACTGGGCCTGACAAAGTTGAACTTCACAGACAAGCTGGGCGAGACGCTCTCCCACGCCTTTACCACTTGAAAAACTTGACAATTACATTTGGCAGTTGACGAATATAAACGTCCACAGCAGTGAGTGACTGAGTAGCATCTCCACCCATTCGAGTCAAATCTTGTTTGCAAAAGGGGGCTCAACTTCGTCATATAACTGTACGAGGTGAATAATACTGTATCTCAATGGTGTGTTGTTCTTGTTTTGTATGTTGTGATACCTGTTCTGTTTGCGCGGGGAATTTCCCCAGCCATCACTGGCTCAAAAATGATTGTCCCCCCCCTTTTCTCCACTTTGTTTTGTCTTTGCTTCCTGAAGGACTGAAGAAAGTTCGTAATCCGGATCGAATGTACAGATCAGCCGTGTGTTATGCTGGCCACGGTCCACCAAAGAGTATCAGTGATGACACAGAGACTAACAGTAAGAGTCCGTTATTAATACTGCATCACCGCTGCCAGAGGCCACGCGCTGGCCAATCAATTATTCATTCATCGATTCATTTATTTACTCCTCCATTGCATCCCACATCCTCCCTTTTCCTCTCTGTGCTCTCCAACGTAACACCTCCAACAGCCGCTCTGCTGATTGAAGTCTCAGCTTTGCGGGATCGCGCAGTCAATAGCTGGAGTGTTGTCGTTAACTAAGAGGGATTGTTCAATGCCGAGACACTGCCATCAGGGCTGACTAAGAAAGCTCCGAGCCGTCACATTTGGCTTTTGCTGTTTTTCTGCTTTCCTCCCGCCTGATTTTGCCATCTCATCACACCTTCACATCTGCTCGTGTCTTCCTCCAAACGGACACGCGTGTGCTCTCGGTCGAGGCGGCGCAAGCAACACGGAGAACGTCACAGTTGAGGTTTTTCCCCTGTAGCCACAAGCGCTGAGAGTGAGAGCCCGGCAAATCAGTTGCAAATGTAGGCCAAAGCCTTGCCTTTTTGTTGTGGGGGATTTTCCCTTCATTCGTCTACAGAAAAAAAACAAAAAAAAAAAAAACGGGCCGATTGTTCTTCTGAAGAAAGCAGTGCCTTCGTTGTTAATGAATCCACCAGCAAAGAGCACTGTGGCTGCTGATGTAGACTAGAGAGCGGCTAATTAAGTGTGCTCATGTACTGTCATTTCAAAATCGGGAATGTGAGATCAGTAGCAACCCCTTGTGAGACTACTCGCTCAATATGTGTCGCTGCTGCGCTTCATGTATATTTTTTAAATTTGTGGCTTTCTCAAAAAAGACGGTTTGGGAAGATTTAAAGACCAGGCAATAGATCTTCCAGATCTGTGAAACATTGATGAAGACTGCTGTTGTACTTTTGCCCTCTCTCTCAGACACACACACACACACACACACACACACACACACACACACACACACACACACACACACACACACACACACACACACACACAGATGAACGTGGCAACAGACATCTCTTGCTATTTTCCCCCCTTCTTGTGTTCCCGTGGGGTGTTACAGTATGCGACTTGAATGCAGTCAGCCTTAATGTCATTTGTGGCCGGACACTCTTCTGGCACACAGAGATGCCATTCCATTGATCTGAGTAATCGTCTGAGTAATTGTGGGAGCAGTTATGCTGGCGAGCAGGCTTTTGTTTGTGTGCCTGTGTTAGCGGAAGGGAGAGCGAGAAAAAGAGAACCAGAAGTGTTGCATGGAAGTGAGGGAAGGAAAGAGAGGGAGAGCGAGAGAGACCTCACCTCTGCTCTCCTTGAGATGGGATTTTTATGGATGGCTGAGCTTGGTGAGGGCCAAGAACACATAAAGAGTCATTTTCAGTTTGTTGCAGGCAGTTAACCGTGTGTGCATGTTTGTTGAACTTCTAGTAATAGGCTTTTTTCATTTTTTTAGCTCTTTGACTTTTTGACCCTCTTCCCTTATTATGCTGTGTTCCACTACATTACAGTCAGCCACGTTAACGCTGTATCCAGTCGACGCTAGCAAGGTATACATGCATGCAGATGCGGAAAATAGCAACGACAATGCGTCTTGTAAGACTTATCGGAAGGAGAGAGGAGATTTATTATTTTTTTTGTTCCTTTTCCCAGGAGGTCAAACACCCCAGCGAGACGCTGGCAAGGCGACAGGCAGTGCAACGCATTTTCCTGCTACACTTGTGGGCGCTTTTTGTAATTTTACTGTATGCAAGGGTGTTGTCCAAATGGCTATAGGCCAAATGATGAAAGGAATTGGTTCCCCACTTGCACACCAAGGCTATTGCAAGTTTTCCCATCTCGTCATCAAGAGGCTGTGGGCCCCCAAACGAAATAGACTTCATTGAAAGTGCCTGGCCAAATGCCACCCATCTTTGTTGTTGCTCAGATATAAAATGGATCACATTGTGCAGATAGTAGAGGTCGCTGGAAAGAAGAGTTTTCTTAAAGTTGCTGAAGTTTCAAAACTCCTGCATTAGCAAGTTGTGGGGATGTGGGCTGTGAATGAAACGTCATTCGAAGATGTTAGTGCAGGGGTGGCCAACCAGTCAGAGACTAAGAGCCAATTTTTTTACTGTGTTACTGCAAAGAGCCCCCCCTCCACACACACACACACACACAGACATACGACCAAACAGTCGCGCACATATGCATGCACGTCACGACGAGCAACAGCCGGAGCGCCTAAACATAAATAAAACCTTAAGACGCAAACACACAAATCTTTTTTTTACCCCCATTTCCTCCTCCCACCGCTCGCGGTCGACTTGGGACCAGTCTGCCTGCTCTTGGTTGATTGCGATCGACGTATTGGGCACCCTGCCCTAAAAACTGAGGTAATTCGCTGACTAGCTTAGCACATAGCACTTGGCGCCGTTGTCTGTGCTTGATTGGTGATTCAGTTATCTGATTGGTTGCCCTCTTTGTCAATCGAGTAACGGGATTGATGATAGGCTGACGTAGTGCGTTCTGTGTATTAAGCACCGTTGTTTGAATGGCAGCGCCATCGCCGAGGCATTTTCGACAATTGTTGTGTGAAAGCCTGGGAGCCGCATGAACCAGCCAAAGAGCCGCATGTGGCTCGTGAGCCGCGGGTTGGCCACCCCTGTGTTAGTGTGCTCGGAAAGCCAAGGGGGCGGCATGGCTCAGTGGTAGAACCCCCAATCGCCGCATCATCAGTTGATAAACGAGGTAAGATTGTGAAGCGCTTTGAGTACCAAAGGTAGAAAAGCTCGATACAAGTGAAAGCCCTTTTACCATTTACCAAGATGAGTATGCGCATGCGGACGTTGTCAAGATTGGTCAATTGACAACTAGCTGTCAAACTGCTTACTGCAACTTTCGATCGAGATTCGATCAGGAAGAGTTTATTACATTCATATCAAGGACCCGAAATTGTGCCCATGTAAAATGTGCCAATCAACAGCAAAGTGAGCTGTTTGGAAAAGTTGGGCGCACTTGACGTGTGAACGCAAAGCTCAGTTGTGCCGCTCATCCCGCAAATGGGTGCTCCTCTTCAAAGGAGTTAAACAACCCTTTTTGACGACAATCCAATACCATAGTCAGAGGAGTAAAATGGACCGGGTAAATGCTAAAAGTACGACTTTGTAAGTGTTCACCAGCGAAGCTTTTTTTGCTGCTCGGAGCGGGTTTACGTAAAGACACATTTTTTTGGACTGGCATAGAAGCAAATGATTACATGTACAACTGACCATTACGCTGAATGTGCTGCAGTTTTTGTAACCTGCAGATGCACGTAATTTTCCAAATAAGACTTCTTTCAGATTTCGGTGATTAAAAACCAAAACCAAAAAAACCCAAACATTTTTTTCAATCTTGCGGCTAGCGACCCACTGGTTGTGGAGCCCTGTTGTTGCAGACACTCACTGTTGAGCACTGCACCTCAAAGGAGCATGGTCAGACTTCTGTCGTCTTCCAAATGCATCAATGTTCTATATTTGGGAAAAGTGCAGTATCAATATTTGTTACTCACTGTACTATGAACGATAAGAATGGCAAAGGCAGCACTGCATTAGTGGCAACGCACGCAAGAGCTTTCAAGGTTTGTCCCCAAATGGTTGTTGTGATGCGCTTGAGCTGAAAACGAATGCAGCAGCGGCTTTGACCAGGATCATCCCCGCCGTCAGCTCGCCACCACATTCCTTCCATGTTCCTTGATTCCGACGTGTAGGCGGAGCCTTTCCTTCCTCACCACTGAAGTCTCACGTCGCATTCTCTTGGTTGTTTTTATTTCTTCTTTGTTTTTATCCATTTTCATTGGATTGACTTTGAGGAATGCTGTCGAAACTGCAAGATGATATTGGACTGTGATTGTTTTGTTTAGTTTTTTTTCCCCCCCTCACGCATGCTGTGGATGGATGCCATTTATGTTCTCTTCACTGAACTGTATTATATTAAGCCTGTGTTTTTGTTGTGATTTTTGATGCGCTTGCATTGATGGAATCAACCCTTGAAGAAGATTGCCTTTCAAATCCCCTGCCTGCTAGTGGTGCAAGTCATACACAGTTAGTGTCACACTGCTTGACTGTTTGAGCGTCCATTTAATAAAGGATTAAGTGATCAAAATAGCCCCTTATCTGCACAAGTGAGCTTCATTGTTAGTTGCAGAAGGTGCAGCAGACGACAGCACATTTCTGCTCCCTCTATTGTTAGGAATTTCATGAAAGAGGGACGGTTTGATACATTTGTAATTATGATGGCCAATTCGGATGTTCATGTATTTTATTTGGGTGTTCTTGATGCACCCAAACTTCCGGACTCAAAAACGCACCTGATTTAAAGCTGCCACAAACATATTTGTACAGACCTTGGCCACTTGACATTCAAAGCCGCAGGTCTTCACGTGATAGCGTGGGAAATTGGCAAAAAAAGAAGCCACACAGATGGATTAAAAATAAAAAAAACAACAACAACTTTTATTTACCTTAAATGCAGAAAGATGCTTATACAGGGTCAGGCAACATATATAAAAGGCAAATAAAGTAAGGAAACAAAAAATGTTTTTTATTTCTGGAAAGTACATGTAATGCCATTCTGTTTCATTGTGTTTTAAAAATTAAGTGGAGTTCTGGTGACGCGAGCTCGGCCGGTTGATTTTCGTTTCAACGCACATACATCCAGTAGCTCTGAAGTTGGTAACCCATAACAAGATCGTGTTTCGAGCTGGTACGGGATCATGTCTGCCAAGATTGAAGTGCAAACGGAATGCTCGTTGTGCTGCAGTTCCAGATTCGTTTGTTTTGATAAACATTTCCACAATGAAAGCGTGATGCTCACCAGTCCAATTCATGGCAGCAACTGAAAAAGAAACGAAAAACAATGGCATTATAAAGAAACAAGGCAAAATGGCATTATATGTACATTTCGAAAATAAAAACACTTTTTTGTTTCTTGACTTTATTTGCCTTTTATTTAACCTACAAATGTGTCAGATCATTTTGCCTGACCCTGTATATG